TTAGTTTTAAACATGTTTAGTTTGAAAGGTTTTTGGAGATGTACAGTTGATGGTTGGAAACACCTATTAGGAACTCAGGAGAAAGGTGTGGGTTGGCGATCTAGTTGGATTTATGTGACATAGGTTGTCACTGAAGCCGTGGTTGTTGATGAGATTGACTAGACAACAAATACAGAAATGGGAAAAGGACACTGGGCAGGAACCTGAAATTTTCCAACATTTAAACTTCTTGTAGAAGAGAAAGATCAAGTGAAAATTTGTTCTTCTGATGTAAGTCCACATTGAACTATTTACAGAATAGTTCTTTTGTCTGACCATCTTGATTTGTTTTTATCTCCCATCTTAAACTTTTGAGATAGGTAGATTAACTCCAGCTTACCTGGTAGTTTTTCTTTTTACCTATGTTCTTTTAGAGTTAAATTCAGTATTTATGATTCCGTTTTATCTCTTTGTTTATTTTAATAATAACACTTTTCAAACTTTTCAGAGATTGCTTTAGATTTATTGTATCTAATTGTCTTACTCTATTCAGGCTGCTATGACAAAAACCATAGAGTGAGTGGCTTATAAACAATAGACATTCCTTGCTCACATCCTAGAGGGTGAAAACTGCCAAGTTCAAGGACCTGGGAGATTTGCTGACTGGAAAGCTAATGTTCTGGTTGTAGTGAAGTAGAGACAATTTCCTTGTTCATTGATGGCTATCTTGTTACAGTCTCACCTGGTAGAAGACTCAGATGAGCTCCTAGGGCTTTCTTTATAAGCACTAATCCCTTTCATCAGGACAGCCATCATGACCCAGTCACCTTGCAAAGCCCCTACTTACAAATATTATCACATTGGGAATTTGGTTTCAACTGAAGAATTTTGAGGGGTGTGCAAACCTCTTCCCTGTCCTGCCTCCCTCCTCCCTGCTCCGCCTGTCTCCCTGTGGGGATTGAAACCAGGGCCTTTGTACTGAGCTGCATTCTCTTAAGTTGCCCAGGCTAAACTCAGACTTGTGATCACCCCTTCTGTGTCGGCCTCCCAATGCGGGAATTACAGATGTAGGGATTATTACCATGCTGGGCTATATTTGCCTGGATTTTATTTATTTATTTCTTAAAGCCATTACAAGAGAGAAATTTTTTTTTTTTAAATTTACCTTCATATCTATCATTTCTAGCACTCTTCATTACATTTTGTAGATCGAAGTTTCCATTTGGTTTCATATTTAACACCTGAAGAACTTCCTTCTAAAATTATCAGCCAGCTGGTACTACAGGAAATTCTTTTAGCTTTGTGTGCGTGCGTGTGGATGTGTATGTAAGACCTTAATTTGCTTTCTTTTTTGAGAGATATTTTCACTATGTAATTCACATTTTTTTCTCCTCTGAGCATTTTAAGATACCACCTCATTGTTTTCTGGCTTGCACAATTTTGGAGTTCACAGTAGTTCTTATCTTTATTTCTCTATACATGATTTTTTTTTTGTCTCTAGCTGCCTTTGAGATGTTTACTTCCTCTTTGTTTTTAATATTTTATCTATAATGAATGTAGGAGTATAGTTTTTTTGGGGGTACACGCAGGTGGTGCTGTGGATCAAACTCAAGGTCTCACATATGGTAGGCAAGCACTGTATCACTGAACTGTACATCCAGCCTTGGGTATGTATTTTTAACTTACTCTGGTGCTTGGTGTTCTTTGAAAATCTTGCTTATGTGGGTTGATGTCTTGCACTCTTTTTCGAAAATTCTTGGCTGTTAACTTTTTCAGATTTTCATTCTGCCTTATTCTCTTTGCTTTCTCCTTCTGAAATGTAAATTACATGTATTATCCCATAGTTCCCGGATGGTCTTTCTTGAAAAATTTTTAAGTCTTTGTGTGCAGATGCATGCAGCATGTACTGATCTGTTTTGAAATCTTCTGTTGATCTGTTTTCAAGTTCTCCAAGTCTTTCTCAGTTATGTCCAGTTTACTGATGAGCCCATCTAAGGAATTCCTTATCTTTTTTGCGGGGGCTTTGGAGGCAGCATTAGGAATTGAACCCAGGTCTTTGTGTATGTTAGCCAAGCACTGGTCTACTGAGCTACACCCCTAGCTGGGAATTGCTAATAGTCTTCGCTTGTATTGTATTATTTGTTATCTACATTTGTTTCTTTCTTACAATTTTTACATTTCTCCTGAAATTCCCTTTCTCTTTGTGCAAGTTACTTTTTTTTTGCAGGCTCCCTTAACATGTTAATCACGTTAAAGTTTTTTGTGTGGTGGTTCTGTAACACCTGAGCTGTCTCTTGTTTGGGTTTGTTGATTATCTCTGAACAGTGGAATTTCCTTGCTTTTCTGTGTCTTATACTTTTCTTTATTTTCCAGTATTAGGGATCAAAACCAGGGCTTTGTGGGTGCTAGGCAAGCATTCTACCCCTGAGCTACATCCCCAGCCATGTCTTACACTTTTTGACCAAGTAGCAGATACATGTGTAGAAAAATGATAGAGATTGAAGCAAATAACTTATTAAAAGGACAGGCATCTTTTTTTTTTCAGTCCATTCATGTGGGAAGTTGAGTCACTGTTGGTACTTGAGCTAAATTTGGGTTTTGTTGATGGTGTCTTTGTCTTTGCTATACTATAGACTTTGTATTCCTCCAGTAATAGGCTCCTGTTACTTTGTGCTTGGTGTGAAGTTTGGGTGCTGTAGAATTTTTTCATTTTCCATCTCTAGATTTAACTGTGTCTTCCCACCTTGCTCTGTAGATGGGAGTATCTCACAGTGCTTTTGTTCCTCTGTCAGTAACCTGCTCTTATTACCCAGAGGTAGGTTTTTGGTGAGAGCAAGGGGTTTCTGTGTTCTGTTGGTCCAGCCTCTGTCTTACACAGGGCCCTGAATTTGGAAGTGAGGTTTTTTTTAGTGTTTCTTTCCTTTAGTCCAAACTAGCCTTGTGTCTGTAGTTGCTTTTAAGTGGAAGTTTCCTGTCCCATGTCCATCTGTAACAGACCTCTGCATGATGAAAGTGTGGGATCCTGAGCTGAAGATTGTTTCTTACACCTCTGTCCAGGCTAAAAAAAGATTTTGGTTTTTGCGTTTTCTCTCACACCGCTAGCTCTTTACCTGTGTTCTGGAAAAGTTTCCCTATCTTTTCCTAGAGACAGAAATGTTTTGTTTCCAATTCTTCCCCCCAGAAGTAACGAATCTTTGCCAGAGTCCTATAGTTGAGAAATTTTGCTGCCTTTACCTCAAATTTATGTAATTTGTTTTGTTTTTTCTTTGTAAAAATTTTGAAAGATTGGTGGGCTTTGTAGCTTCCTCACCCTTGGTCTCCTGCTGACAATCGCCTCTTCTGCTGGTACCACTAAGGGAGACATTCTTTGGTCTCCTGCTTACCCTAGTCTTTCTAATGGCCACATGTTCAAAGGCTTAATGGAGAACAGTTGAATAGAACTTCCCTTGTTCCCGGAGCCCTTGCTACCCTAAACTGACTCACTTAGCCCATGCTTGGCCTTTATAATGTTAGTTTTTTTTTTTTTAATTACCTGCTTAATGGTCACCAATTCTTTTTTCTGTGCTCTGCCAAAGGTAAGTTAGCTTGAGTGTCCAGTTTCTCCTTGAATAGCCTTTTCCCTCTTAGGAATGTAGTTTGTGTGGCTGCCTTGCAACCTGAGCTCTCTGGTGTGCTCAAAAATAGATACTCCTTTTCTTCTTTTTTTAAAAGCTTACGGGGTGTTTTCATATTGTTTGAAGAGGGAGCATTATCTTTTGTAGCTGTTTACATCCCAAGCAGAGGAAGAATTCCCATTTAAAAGTTTCAAATTTCTACTTTGGTAATAAGATAGGCTTGCATTTATATTCTCTGTATACCTTTTCAAAGCTTTTATATCCCAGTATTGCCTTTGAGAGAGGAAGGTTTTACTGCAGGTATTCTTAGACTTCTGAATTTTATATTAAAAAGTAAAATGACCCCGAAGGTGCCATTGTAAGCAATGGCTAAATCCACCTGGATCCCCTCACTACCAAATCCGTAGCCCTTTGGGAACAAACAGAAATATTTGGGAATAGACTTTGTCTTTTGTGTTTTTTTCTGGTACCAGGAATCGAACTCATGACCTTGCACTTGCCAGGCAGGCGCTTTGCCACTGAGCTAAATCCCCAGCCCCCGGGAATAGAGTTTGGAACATTTAATTGAGAAGATAAAGACTTTGAATATTTTTTATAAGAATTGAAATCCCATTTTCTCATGGGTAGGTTTTCTGTTTCATAGATTCTTCAGGTTTCCAAAGACATTTTCCTGCCACCCAAGTTGTTTATTCTTTTTTGCTACATTTAGGATACTAGATGGTCTTGCTACCTCTGTGGCCATTGTCTACCTGCCCCCATCCCCCCACCTATCTCTCCCCCCGCCCCCCGTGTATTTTAATGAGACCCTGTTTGGCTTTTTTGGGTTTTTTTTGGTGCTAGAGGTCAACCCAGTGCCTTGTGCATGCTAGATAGATGCTGGTCCACTGAGCTACACTCTAGCTGTTAACATTTTAAAAAACTGAAAAGGTGATAATACTTAGGGCCTTGTAGACCATTTGGACCTAGCAGGAAAGTTTAAAAAAAAAAAAAAGAGTAGTTATTACCTAAAATCCCACAGAGCATAACTTCTAACCTTTTTTATTCTGGTTTGTTTCCAAGAATAAATTTAAAACTGCAGTTAAAGCCTTGGTATGTATACAATTTTGTATTTATCATTTAATATTTAACATTACATTGCAGGCATCCCTTTGCCTTACCAAATGGTCTTAAACTTTAAAATACTACATACATTACATTATTATGGAATCCACTAGAAATTATCTTTATTTACCTTTGCAGTATTTGTAATTTGAAGGTCAGAAAAGTTTAAAGCTTATTTTTAAAAAAACTTAATCCATTTATAATTATATCACAATGTGTAGAAATACTTAAGTTTCTGATTCTGTTTTTAAAGATGGGGTTTTTTTGGATTCCATTGACCCAGTGGCTTTTCTCCTTTAATTTCAGAATTCCATACGACATAATCTGTCACTCAACAAATGTTTCCTTAAAGTGCCTCGATCCAAGGATGACCCTGGAAAGGTAGGATTCATTTTCTTAAAACAAAGCAATTGGACTTTTCTGTATATGTCTTGTCATGTTTGAATTGAGAACTCGTCTAGTTGATTAGGAACTTTTGTGGAATAGCAAGTTGTCCCCTACCCTGATCTACTTCTCATTTAGTTGGTATGCTTTAAAGACCAACCAGTTAGGGATAGCTTTCTTTTTAAGCAGTGGGAAACTAGCTAGAGCTAGTCCTTTGTTGTATACTTTTTCTAATCTGGTCTTTGGTTGCTTTCTTAAGTGTTGTCATTAAATTAATACGGTGTTTGAATTGCTTGTCAGGAATCACAGTCTATTAATTATTACATATAAGGGATGGATCTCTGTGTAATTTACAAAAGGAAAAGTATTCTAACTTTGAAATAAAATTGTTTCTCTGTTAATACTGTCTTCTTAGTTGCTGTGTTTTCTTTTTGACTGCTTTTATCTTCTGTCACCATCACAGTTTTAGCATTTTATCTACAGAGACATTTGTGTTTCTATAGCTATGTCAACTATAGTGTGACCTTAAGTTGGTATAATGGCTTAGTTTCTAAAGCTCAGAGTACTTTGTTGCACCGCGTTTGTTGATTATTTACTATGATAAGTTACTCGATTAAGATTTCAAGACAGGGTAACTACTGTCAAGATACCTTCTTATTGGGGTGATTAGGCTTTCTCCTTAGGGTAATTGTCCCTGGAAGAATATTTCTAAAATGTAAGCAGTCATGAGTACCCTGTTTAAAATTACCTCTTCCTTGTCTGGGGGATGTTTTACGTTGTTTTTTTATAAAGTCTCATCTTTCATTTTCCTAATGTTACCATTCCAGCCATGATTCGCTTTATTCAAGGCTCAGCGTGAGGAACATCTTGAAGTTTCTCCAACATAACTTTCATATGGTCTTATTGCATCATATAGTCTTATAATCTTATAGTCTGCCCTAGTCCTTTTAAGATTGAATTATAACATTAGGTGTCTCAAACGTTTTTGTTTCTCCATACCTCAGTTGAGTTTGTTGTTCACTTTTTTCTGTCTCTGTTACTTTGTAGCCTTATCATTGTTGTAGTACCTCCTAACTGGTCTGTTTTTGGACTTGCTCCCCCAAATTCATAGTTACTTTCACATTGTAGTTGTCAGTCTTTTAAGAAATGTTAACTGCAGTAACCATAGTATGTTTGTCTGTGCTCTCCAGCTCTTCATTCTTCTTTGCTCTTGGGTTAAAAGCTAAATGTATGAGGTTGTAGGAGCAACATGTTCACTATTTAGCCCCAGTTGCTTGCACAGTGGCTGGTAGCACTGAGACATCCTTGTTGAATGAGTATATTGTATCCTCTAGTAGACTGTTAACTTCTTGAGATTATAGATGGAAAGTTTTTCATTTCCATATTAAAGCACACGCCTTTGTAATACTTAATAGTACTTCTTGTGATCTGCCCAATCAAGTGGTTATCAATAAGACTGAGTAGATTATTAAAGTATTATTTTTTTGTCTATATTTATAATTCACTAAGATGGGATAGCACTTGGTGGCAAAAGTTTTTTCCCTTTAATACAGGCATGTTATTAAGAAGAATTAGAATTTTCTATATATCTTTCATTATAACTTTTCATAGTAAATGTGAATCAGATTGAAAAATATTTTATTAGAAATCTGTGGAGGCAAACTGGATTCTGTAAACATTTAGTTTGTTAGATTTTTAAGAAAATTAAAAATAATGGAAATGAAATTAACACACATGAATATTTAACTGTATTATGTACAAAATTTTGCCCAATTGAAGACCCATTTTAAAAACTTTTGCTGTCAGGCTACTGTTCTTTAGTGGGAAGTTGAAGCTTTTCTCTTTAATGAAATAGTATGATGGAATAATGCAGCTATGGAAAACAAGTTACACTTTGCAGTTACTCTTTTGGAATTGTGCTTATGCAGCTGATTCTTACGGAATCAGTAATGTGCAACTAAAACAAAATACAGAAATGAATTGACTCCTGAGAGCAAGAGCTTTGGCTTTTACCATTAGTGTCTAATTTTAAAGTTTTATATGTATCAAAACATATCATTGTTCTCATTTATTTTGGTCACAGTGAGTATCATTTGATCTTATGAAGTACACTTACAGAAATGGAGTCATTTTAATTTTTGGTCTCAAAATGAAGTTTAAATAAGCCATTGTTCCCGTTGAATTTTGGTGAGAAGTGGATGTTGTGAATTTGATCTTACAAACTGAGAAAAATCATTTTTAGTATCACAATGAGATTTTGTTCAAAAAGAAAGCAAAATTCCATTGCTTTTAAAATGCTTTGAGTGTAAGAACCTGAAAGAGTAAATAAAACTGAAAGGTACAATAGATATTGTGAAAGGGAATGAAACTGCTTAGTAGGAAAGAACAACTGGAAAGAAGAAAGAAAGAAGGGAACACACACACACACACACACACACGTATACATATACACACGATAGCTGAGATAATTGTACTACTAATTTCTGTTGGTTTATTGAAAGTAACAGTTAATGTTTAATTGTTTGAGCCATCTTGCTTACCTATATCTGGTAATCTGAGCAGCTACTTTAAAGATAACAATAAGTAATACAACAATCATTGTTGATTTTCTATCATCTTGTTTTGAAATTCTGTATTGTTTTTATAGTTTTTGTGTTGTTTTGTTCTTGTCTTTTTATTTTGCTTTTGTTCTTTTCTCTTTAAAATAAAAATCAATCAATCAATAAATTTTTTAAAATTCTGTTGTGTGAGGAAGCAAAATGCTTTGAAAGCCTTACTTCTATCCCATTTTATAATAGTAAAGAAACTAAGGCCAGAAGATAAGAAGTGACTTACTCAGATTCATTGTAGAATTAGAACTCAAGTGTAATAGGCAGACTTACTTGCCAGTCACAGAAACCCATTATAGATTAATTTATGGGTTTCTTCAGGAGAAACTGGAGTTGGTTCTTAAATTATATCATCACAAATGTCTCTTTCCATTCCTTAGTTTTTCTGATGGCTTTCTTTTTAGCCCAGTTAGTGGCAGAGATGACTATTAGAAGCTTCTGTCTTATGTTCTGTTAGTTTAGTAACAGCAGAGTGTGTCTTTTGGTTCTCTCTCAGTGCCCCCCAGCTCATTTTGAATTATAGCAGAAGTCTGAAAAAAATGCCAAGTAAGTGAAGAAAATCTTGGTTTCTTGGTTTGTAGACTAATGCTTTTTCCAATATACCAGTCTTCCTTGAGAGAGAGGCCAAATGTTAGTTAAGTTTTGGTACTTATGAATTGTTTTTTCTTTTTGTATTACAGTGTTTCCTGGCATTTGAGGAGCTTTTCCAAAATCACCCTCACCACAGTGGGAGAAAACCATTGAGCCAAGGTGGGGTGGGAGTAGATTTTTGGGTGTGGTTCATGGGTATGGGATGGACCTTAACCCCTTAGGATTTTGCTAGCTGTGGCCCTGACCCCAATAGGCCCAAGAAATAGAAGTAATTCTTACAGCATTTTCTTTTGTATTTTCATGGTGTAGCATCCTGTTTGTTGTATTATTGGAGAGGTATAATGACCAGCATAGACTTGAAGTGTATTGTTGAGTTATAAAGATTTTTATATGACTGCTTTTTTTCCTCTCCATTCTTTATGTAAGAAATTCATGTCATAAAAACCATTCAGATTTGGTACCCTTTCATTGTACATTGATGGTCTGAAATCCATTCACCTCTATTTCTTGAAATTCACTTAAAATAGCTGCATCATTATTTTCTTTAAAAAGAAATACAGCTAGGCATGGTGGTACCTACCTATAATCCCAGCACTTTGGAGGTCGAGGCAGAAGAGGTTTGCTATGAGTTCAAGGCTAGTGTGGACTACACAGTGAGTTCAAGGCTAGTCTGGACTACATAGCTAGACCCTGTCTCAAGAAACCAAAAATAAAATAAAACATATATGTACATATATACGTACAAGAAAAAAAGAAATACAAAATGAAATTGTATTTTTCATCCATGATTTTACTGCTTTTGTGGGGGTACAGATTTCTTTTCCCTCAGTTATAAACCTCTTCTCCCTGTGTGTCCTCCAGCTTGTCTCCATTTTTAAAATCCATTCTTCCATCTCCTCTCTTCTCATTATTTCTGTTTTCTTTATTTTTGCTGACATTTTTTTTTCTTTTGCTGACATTTTGATCTAAACATTTTTTTTGTATTTTTATTCTGTGATGCATAATACTTCTCCATTACCTTAAAGGTAAATATTTTGCTCACATTATGAAAAAGAAATCATCAGCTAAAAACATTTTGCTTGGGCTGGGGATTTAGCTCAGTGGCACAGTGCCTGCCTGGCAAGCGCAAGGTCGTGAGTTCAATTTCTGTCATCAGGAAAAAAAAATTTTTTTGCTCACATTATGAAAAAGAAATCATCAGCTATACTTAAAAGGCAGTTCTCTTCCTGTGCTTTCTAGCTTAATTTTTTCTCAACCCTGTTCCCCTTTCTTCATTTTTGTTAACTGGAGAGAGGGTTTTAGTTCTCTTTGACTTGGAAGGAACTAAAGGATCATAGGAAGTAATTTCAACAATGGCATAAACAATTAATGACATAAAACTTCATAGAACTGAGAAAATTAGCTGAGAAGTTTCAGGCCAGCTATGCATATCCTGGGGAGTTAACTATAGTTAATTCGTAGTAAGAAGAGCTTTTTGTTTTGCTGGTGTTGGGGGAAAGCTCTTTATTACCTGGACAGGAGAGATTGTAAAAGTTCAATGTCTGTAAAGACTGGGGTCTCTTGGTTTGTGAGGAAACAGACATTGCTAGAGAAATAACTTTCAAAATTTCCTACATAGTGATGTTTTCTATTTCTGTTCTCTGGTTCATAAAAGATAGTAACAGTTGACTCATCACTTTCTTTCAAAGGAGATTATTTTTTTGGCCATGTTAATCTTGTGCTGTATTTACTTAGGAATTGTTGATTATTCACTAGTATCTCATTTGGATCATTTTGGTATTGGGAAACTGGAAAGAT